CTCTTCTCCAGACTCTGAGTCCAGACTCAGGACCACATACCACATTAAAACTTATGCAGCATCCAATTTCTGATGTTATGTCCTTTAAAGACTTCAGACAGTAAGTTAACCTGAACAGAGACATGTTTTAAATATCCACAGCTGACAAGTTTTGTAAGAGCACACCAACATATTTTTTTTAGAGCCCCACAGACATTTGCTAAAATAAAAAAAAAAAAGTTCTCCATTGAGTTTAAGAAGGGAGGAAAAGAGCAGCAGATTAAAGCCTTGATCGAGTCATAAGTTGTTTTCTGTAGACTTAAACAAACCTTTGGATCTCTGGAGTGTTCGGGACATAAAACCTGCAGCCGCTTACAGTACGTCTTACTTTGAGGGTTGTAGACATCGCAGAATAACCTGGTGGCTCTGAGAGAGACAGAGAGAGAGATGAGACACAAACAGAGGAACGGGTGAAGACACGAGGGACGGACAGGTGCACGGTCTTACCCCTCTATGCGTGTTGGATACATGGAACCAAACGATGTTTGACTCTCATACTGTCGGAAAAAGAAACAGAAAGATCAGATTAAACAGTTTTCCTTGGTGCCTACATTACCCACAATTTGCCTCAGAACAGCTGACTGTCATGCCAGGGGATGTAAAACACGCTGTTGTGCCATAACCACCATATGCCTGCTAATATTCTGACTTCATGTGCAGAACTGGAGGACCTCAGGGGTGCTAGGTTACATCAATAATCTTTTAGGGAGAACTTATTATCCTCATTTATTATTAAACTCCAGAAGAGTAGCTTTTTTAAACAGAAGATTTGAACAGCAGCATTGGGTGAATTTGCTAAAGGTCATTTTTCCAGCTGTCACTGAATTTCACTGTCTTATTGTGGCCTTTGTTCCCACATTGCTGTTATCAATTTCCTGTTTGATCACCTCTTTAAGGCAGCTGTAATTCATATCCAGTACAGACCCCAGGTGGACACACTTCCTGTTTCTTTAAGCTAACCTTAGCGTAGCATCGCTCCATATGACGCAGAGCCACCTTCGGATTGACGGGGTGACTGCAGGAAACACAGAAGATCTGAAAGTCTGTGTCGTCACCGTCACCCTCAGTCACCTGCAGAGACAAACAGAGAGAGGAGACTAACTAACAGCTGATCACACTAACAGCGGAGTGCACTGGGTGGCTGCAGTTGCCACAGACCTCCTCGTGCTGTTGGACTTGCTGAAGTTTGGCGTTGGCGATGATGCCTTCTAGCTCATGGAAGCGTTTCTCCATCAGCGTGAGACGCATCCTCGCCGCCTGCTGCTCTTTCCTGATCCGCTCCAGCTGTCTGCGTCCAATCTCCTCGGCAATGCAGGGACTCTGCTGCCACTGCTGGATCCTCTGAGGCAGGATCTCATAGATGCGACTGAGAGACAGAGACGAGGCGTCAAAGAACCAACAGATTTCAGAAACATGTGCTGGTTTTGAGAAACCAAATTACACCAAGTTAACAGACAATGTGATGTTTGCTTTCTGCATAGGTTTGAGGTCCTGGGTGAAACCCCAGAGTACACAGTAATAAGGTGTACTAGAAGTGCTGGCACAGATCACATTTTGGTGCCATCTCGGGTGGTCGTGCACAATTTTGGCGGTTTTTACCACCAATCTTTTTTACCTGCAGAAGCACAGAGTATCGGATTATACAGCAAGGAGAAGCTGCAACAGCTTCATGAGACTCTGGAGAAAACCTTGGAGTTTCTTCCCTTTTGGTTTAACTTCTCCTCTTCAATCAGGGATGATGCAGAGGTTTTCTCTGAATGGCAACACCCATCATTTACTACAGCGGTATCTGTGATGATATCACCACCAAAACCAAAGCGGTGAGCATAATGGTGGCAATGAACGTGTTTCACCTCTAGAAAGATGACCAAAGGAGTTTTGTATTTCAGAAACAACCTGTCAGTTTGTGTTTGGAACAAATAGTATGCACTTAAGGGTTAATGGACTCAACAGTCCAATTAGATATGGTAGCTGACTTGATACAAACTTTCTAAATTCAGCATAGAACTGCTGAATTTAGAAACCGCTGAATTCTCTGCCATGTCAGCCGCGTCGTGTTCACATGAACATTTAGATGATCTCAGACTCACTTGGCGGCGAGCTTCATGCCGCACTC